GCTCTAAGTGCAAGTAGGTCAGTATCATTTTCTACCACATCTCATAGACTTTAAGCCTTTAAATAGGCCTTGATCTTGAATGCCCAAATGTGATAGTTTTCCCTAGTAAATACTGGTGGCCCTATCCTTATAAAGTTGCTGGTTGCCATCTCTCACTGTCCCTAACGTGCTTGGTCTCTCAACTCACAAACACTCTAAAAATGAGATATCCCTCAACTCACATTTTCCCTTAAGAAGGAAGCTTTGATACCATTCTTAGTAAGAAGACTTCAAGAGAAAAGAAGAGTAGAAATAAAAATCATTTTCATGAATTGCTTTATGCCACTTTCATTTTCCATAGTCAATATAAAATATATATAGTTGATTAAAAGTATGAAGAGTCATATCCTACTCCAACTACTCTAACATGGCAAATTATAAAGCATACTCATTGTTATAGGATACATCATAACTTCAATAGTATATAGATAAAAACAAAAGCAACTAATCAGTATAAAATATTGATTAAGAGTATCTAGGAAAATCTCATTCATCTAACATGTGTTTTGTAACCTATAGGGACATTAATATAGCAAATTGAACATATGAATGAAATAAAGAGAAAGGGAGAGAGAAGGATGGACTCCCATATTAGAAGAATTTCTCCTCCAAACTCCTATGTTTAACATCCTAAGTTTTAACTTGAAACTTTAAGTGTTTAAGAAGGATAAATTGATCAAAATATGCTATTTATAAATTAATGGTGTTTTTCAAACACTAATAAAGTTTTTGGACCTTTAGACAGCATTGAAAATGAGCTAAGATGGTGTGTGAGTCAACTCGGCTTGAGAGGGTGGCCAAAATGGCATGTGGCACTTACTGTGTGATATGCTACGACGTATGCATAATGCGCCATGGCACATGGTCAAAATTTGGGATTTAATCATACACGAAATCATATTTGTTTCAGAAGAAGAAAAGAGAGAAACGAGAGAGAGGCGACGAAGGAGACATTGATGGCTAGTAAGGCTAATTCCCAACATCTTCTTGGAAGTATTTATAGCTTGAATATTATTTGGTAAGCTTTCTACACATTTCTCTCCCTCTTTTATGCAAATTTTTATGGTTTTAGGTGTGATTGTGGCTTAACTTCATTTCTCCTTAAGTTTAGACCAAACCTATTAGGTTAATTGAGGTCTTCAAGAGTTTCTAAACCTAGGTTTATGGATTGTGTAGTGATTTGAAATTTTTTATTAGGGTTTGGATGAACCCTAAGTGAAATTTGGGTGTTGGGGAGTAAGTGGGTAAATGAGTGGTGTTATTTGAGTGTTTAGATGCTAAATGAGATTAATGAAATGTGTTGGAAGGGTTGATATTGATAAAATGAGATCTTTAGGTATAATGTTTAGTAGAAATTTAGTGATTTCGGGGTTTAATTAGAGTAATAATTGATTATTACTATTAAATCATTTAGATTGTATATTGCTTGAGTGTTGATATACGTGTGGGCCTTGTGGAGCACATATTTAGATCATAGTAACCTTTTTTGTGTAAAAGGGTTAAGGTAATGGAATAATTTACTCTATTTGATTAAGTGCTTAATTATTTGTGAGGATTTTGTACATAGAAAATGACTTTTACAAAACAATAAATTTTATGAAAGTATTGTTATATATGTAAAATTATGGTTTGAGTGCAAATATATGAATTCCATAAAAGTATGAGCATGATCATGATAAGGGGTGGGAGTTTACCTATAGGAAGGAGTAGTAGAATTTCATATGACATTTATTTCCTTAGTGTCTTGTAAGGTATGGCGTTGGAGATTATCTCTTTAGTAGTCATGTGGGGTACAGCGTTAGAGATTTACGCTACTTAGCATCAGTGTGATGTGGTGTTGGAATAATGGCACCTTGAATTGTGTGTGATAAGGAAAATCATAGTTTGAAAGTGGGATATGACACCTTTGACTAGGTGATCCTATCACTGAAGGTGACTGAGGTCATTGTGTATGTATGCTTAGTCTAATAGAGCCTTTAGTTTCAGTTAGGGTGATCTGGAGTCTCAGATGGTAGAATGATCATGCTATAGTGGAAATGACATATGATTATGGAAAAGATTATGTTGAATATGCTAAATAGGCATTTATATATATATAAAATTTACTTGCTTATAGTTGTATATGTTAATTGATAGTTGTGAATTATTCTATTACTGTAATGTTTATCTCACCCCATGGTTATATTTTAAAGGTGAGGGTCCGATAAGGCCAAAGGGAAGGAAGGGATTATCAAGTATTGAAAGCTTTGTTTGTATAGCTCTTCCCCTTTCTATTTTGGTATCATGACAAATTTGTGTTAATTATGCCAACTTAGGATCACTCATTGTTTTGTATTCACTTGCATGAGAATTGTGACTATATGAGTGTGTATCTCGACCTAGAATGATGTGTTTGTGTTGAAATTGTCATGTGAGGTTGATATATTAGTGCAAGTGGCATTTTGAAGTTGTTTATGTGTTTGATGGGCCAAATTGATACTTATGGTGAATTATAGACACCTCCTTGATATTGCTGTGTAATCGAGATTTTGGTGGCCAAATTGTGTATCTACAATTGTTGTTATGATATAATTGGTTTATCAGGTTGTGTGTGGTCTATTTGAGTGGGTCCAAGTGGTTTCAAGGCTATTGACAATAGTTTGTGTGTTTTGAACATCCTTGTATGTGTTATGGTTTGAAAATAGACTATTTTGGGTTTGGGTATCTAAGTTTTAAATGGTTGAATGTTTGGATGTAAGACTAATGCCAATAGTTAAAAGGCTTGAAAAGCTACATGTAGACATTTGAACCGCTCAAATCGAATGTCAAATGGCAAATGGTGCACTTTGAAAGTTAGATTTTGGGTGCTGTCATCATGACAGCAGCGGGCCTCGACGCTGGTCTTGCGCACCGTAGCGCATTGCATAGCGAGAACCTTAGGTTCTTTGCACCATCCGCCATCTGTCGCGACATATGGAGCACTTTGTGAGCAATCATAAATTCCTTTTTTCGTGCTTGTTTGATAGGTTATTTGACTTTCTTACTTCTGCTATCTTATTTAATTTGTTTTAAACTATAATTTAAACTCAAACATTATTTCAAAAAGGTTTTTTTTGGAAATCCCAATCTTTTTAACTATTTCATTCTTAAACTCTTGAATTATAATAATTTTATTTATGAAATTTTATTATTCCTATTTATTACAACGATGTGTTTGGAGTGTTGTTTTGGTAATGTCAAAGTGAATATTATACTATAGATCTCTAAGCTCTCAATGATGTGACTGGATAATTACGATAGGCTCCCTAGGCTATTCTTATGTGTTTTTCGCTCCCACTAAGCCTCAAATCTATCTGAATCATGCATATGATTATCTCATATTTTGAATCGTCTGACGATTTGAAATTAAATTTGAAGCCTACACGTGTTAAATGTGTGTATCTGCGAATAGACTTGCACATCGTCACATATGGTGATTGTCAAATAAATCCTTTTTTGTCGCTTCCTCTATGGGCAGGTGAAAATTGAAGCCTTACTTGTCCGCGAATGGATATTAACCACATTGGTGGTGTCTGCGACTGGATATATAGATAGACATCTTGACTTTATTGTTGTCTCACCTTCCTCATCCATAAACTGCTACGTTCTCTTTGGTTTGTGTCCGCGAACGAACAAAAATAGAGAGGTCAGCTTTAGGGCCTCAACGTACTTCCACAGACAATTGCATTTTGCACTACATGTGTTTGCAGGGCACAAACAGAGTAAATCCTCTTTCTCTAACATGTATAGCCATGGCGGAATGTCCTTTGCATTGACTTGTGCACGGACGGACTTGCACCATGGCCTAATTTTTGGGCTTTCAAACTTAGGCTTCATGCGTTTAGCTTATTTTCATTTGGGATAATGAAAATTTTAGTTCTTCGAGTTTTTTTAAGTTACTAATTTGGTCATTTAAGTTTATTTTTTGTTAATTTGCTTCCTTATATTTTCTTAAATTATCATGAGCATTTTAAGTTTTAATACATATATTAAATCTCAAAATAATCTAATACGTAAAGTATATTGATGTTTTGGCATTTATATATAGTTAAATGAGAACAAATTAATTAACCCTTGAATGAGTTTAATTTTAATCAATATAATCCCTTATAATGTGTTTTGTTCTCTTATTTCTTAAAATTTTAGAGTTTTTTTTCATAACTAAATAATTATAATCATTTTTATTAATCTACATGGCTGTTATCAATATTTTATAATCTAAGTTAGAAAATTTTAACTGCACAACCTCTTTTTTTAAATAAAAATGATCAAATCGATAATCAGATCAAACTTAAAGGATTAAAATGAAAGAAATTAAACTTGAGGGACTAAATTAATAATTGAGATAAATATAAAGGACTAAAAGTTGCATTATTTTCTCATTTTCTTGTTACAAAATATCATACTGATGAGGAATTTTATTCTTATTTTTGTATATTTTGTGCCATAATTAATTGGTTTAGGAGCAAAAAGCTTTATAAAATGTAACCATAAATCACACATCAGTTTACTATATGAATTCATGATTAGCTTTTACCTCACTAATTCGAGTTTATTTAAATTTGCAAGTTTAATAACCCTGCCTCTATCTATCAGCCTTACCATAAATTACAGTTATTAATTAGACGATCAAATCCTTTTGATTGCTGCCTTCGGATTGGGTTTGCTGGTAAGGGCTCTCTTGTCAAGTCACGTGTTCGAATCGGCAATATTGCCTTCTTATTCTTACCAATTATTATCACCAAATCCTTTTCATTATCACCTTACCATTACATCCCCAGAAACGTCTGTTAAATCAGAGTTTAATCTAAGATAGCTTTTTCTAACAATTTAATTACTTTAAGGGCAAAAATGCCTTAACAAATACTTTAGGGTCTTGGGTACTCATTGAATAATAACTTTAAGAGCAAAAATGCACCATATGATAGATGTATTCTGTTTTTTTTTTTTTTTTCCAATGCAAACTAAAACCTTCATTCCAAAAGAACAAAGTCCGATAACAATATTGCAACAATAAAAACGAAACGCTAAAGCAGAAACTACAAAATAGTTAACAACAAACCAAACTCAGAAGAAAACAAGCAGCAAATTAAAAAGCATCAGAATCAGCCAGCTCCCAAACGTTGCTCATCCACCACCCGTTAAACTCATCAGACAAACCAGCTCTCACAGCATCCAAGGCTAGAATGTCAGACAAAGGAAATGATAGCAAATGTGTCCCTAAACTATAGGTCTTAAAGCATTTGGGATCCTAAACTAATTTTTGGTGCAATGTTTCCCTTTAACTTTTTAAAATGGTGCAATATTGCCCCTAAAATTATGTTAATTTTGACCATTAATTAAACAAAAAATTATAGAAAATGACCTAAAAAATTACAGAAAAGTCTCTTGGTCATTGTCCATAATGTTGGGTCCTTTTTTATAATTTTTTTATCCTATTTTATAATTTTTGATGCTTGCTTTTGTAATTTTCTAATTAATTAATAGTCAAAGTTAATTTCTATTTATGTAAAGGTGACATTACACCATTTTTAAAAGTTGAATGAGAATATTATACCAAAAATAAGTTTAAGGTCCTAAATACTTCTAGACCTATAGTTTAATGATGGAATTGCCTTTAAATCCTATTTTATAAGATAGTTGGATTCAAGGACGCAAATTCAAGCAGTTCATGGTTAGTCTCAACCAAAGCCATGTCTTGGGGGGTTAAACTCACCCATGCTTCAATCCCCTTTCCATCACTTGTATCCATCAAAATAATCAAATTATTCATTTCCAAAGGAGGAAGGCTTACCCACTTGGGCTTTCCCCACCCAAAATCTACTTCATAAAACGCAAAATTGCACCAGCTCGAGCACATGTAGAAATCTTTACCCGGTTTTTCCAATTCAATCTCCTTCAATGCCTCACTCATTAACGAGAAAGCATCTCTGTCTTGAAGTTTCATGAGACATTTCTTTGAAAATTGTTCCAGAGCATTCCTTTGCTGAAGCACCAACCATTTTAAGTCCAGGTCAGTACTTTCATTGGTGCCTTCTAGTTTTACTAGGAAGTGACTTATGAAGTTGCCGACAGAGGTCTCAGGTAAAGGTGGGCTTGTCCTTTTACGAAGATTCACTGCTTGGGATACCATGGAAGGTCTTTTGGTTATTCCTAGGTTTGTTCTTGATGCTATTGTAGCACATTTCCATATTAGTGCCAATACTGACTCCACTCGGGTTGGTTGTTCCACTATATTGCTAGAAGCTTTGGCCTTTAATTTTGTGATCTTTGAGGAATCAAACACAAACCTGCGTACCCAATTCAATTTGCTATCTAAAGTCAGCAGTATATCTTTTTATTTGATATTAATGAAGTTTAGTAGGAACAAATATCTACAACTCAATCATAGTTAACTAATATGTAACTATGATTCAATTCACGCTTTGAATTTTTCATTTTACTTTAAGAATAGAAAGAAAGAATGAAACTCATTTCTAACCAAGTGGTGAAGCTATTATTCATATCATTCTTAGGAATCCTATGCTACTCTGAAGTACTTTTATTGTGCTACCTCCATTCCATGGGTTCTACAAAGATAATGTTTAATTTCTGTTATCGAACAAAATCCTTTAGAGTTTCCAGAATTTGAGAGCACTTGAGCCATTGAATAAATCAGGTGATAATAGACGTGTTTGATTTTGATTCATATATAGGCGGCAATATGAATGTGGGGCAATAAATGTATAATGTATACAAAAGTGAGAAAAATTGGGAGCATTTGGCGTCAAATTTATAGCATTAAAACATTCATGCAAAGCACATGGTTTCATTTATTACGTGGTAGAATTATGAAGTCCATTTAATTAAATGCTCTCAAACTTAATTGAGAAACTTTAGAAATCGATCTTGCGAAGATTTTGATCCTTTGTCATGCCTTTCTTTAAACAAATCTTATATATTTTATATTTATCTCCTTCTACAATTAATGATCGGGGAAAAAATATTCTTTAGTTTACTTGACTAGCTAGATTTGCTATTACTAAAGCTAAGATCATATTTCTAGTAAGTCATATATTTCGATGCTCTTAAAAAAATACCATTTTTCTGTTGAAAACAATTTTTTAGGGTTGAAATCGTTTAGTTCAAGACTTGAAATTTCTCAATTAAAGCCTAAAAAAGTTTTAAAAAAATCAAAAACAAAAAAGATTTAAGGGGTAATTGAGCACATTAACTCTTACAATTATCCAAGAGCATTTGGATTCTAAACTTATTTTTGGCACAATTTTTCTTTCAACTTTTAAAAATTGTGCAATATAACTCTTATCATTAACAAAAATTAACTTCAACCATATTTGACTAGAGAATGACTTTAAAGATTACACAAAAAATTAAAAAATTCAAGTAAATGACCCCAAAATTACATAAAATAATTAATAAAATTTTATTAGTCCTTTTTTTTTTGGTAATTTTAGAGATCTTTTTCTGTCCCAACTAACAATAAAAGTTAATTTTTATTAATCGTAGAAATTAGATTGTACCATTTTTAAAAGTTAAAAGAGAACATTAAAAATAAATTTAAAGTGTCAGGAACTTTTAGACTTATAATTTAATTATCAAATTGCTCTTTTACCCAAGATTTATGGAGATCAAAGTTTTGTATAGAATAATACCTTCTTGTGACGCAAGAATTGATGAAGTCTCCTACCGCGATAGGTGATACAACAATCGGAGAATCCATGGAAGCATAAAACGATCCCAAAGTATTATACTTTGGAAGCATCGACTCAGTCATGCACCCAAAAGCAACACAAGCCCATGCCTTGATGAACGAAACAATTGTTGAAGCATCAGCAATCTTGTGAGACACAGACACACCAATCACCAAACCTCCACAATCGAACAAATTCACTTGAACTTTCAATAAAAACCCAGCATCATCCTCGTCTGGCACAAACTGTTGTATAGAGTCATTTTTGGGTTGTTTAAGGATGTCTTCGAGGAAGCAGCCATGAACACAAGCTTTGCAAAACTCAACACCTTGGTCTTTACATTCAATTATTGCATTGTCTTTGATTCTTCCAGCCAGAGGGTAAAAGTAGGTCAGGGTCTCAGACAATGAAATCTTTAGCCTCTCGCACCTTTCGTCGGCAACCTTGTGATGATGATGACTAACGTTGTTTCCCTGGCATTGATCATCAGTATTGAGATAGAAAAGTAGAATTGCAGTAAACATACCATCAGTATTAATCTGGTCCTTGTAACATAGCTTAAAAGTTTCCTGGTTTTGCGGTGTCGGAGATGATGGCTTTATGATTTGTTTGGACACAAACTCAACCTTCATCTTCTTGTGGCTTGAAACTAGTCGGAATTTCACGATGGCTCAGAAGCTCAGGCCCCTCTAACGCCTCAATATGTATGGGAAACCAAGAATCTGTATTAATGACAAGAATCATAATCTATTGATTTTTTTACTTATCAAATACACATCCATGAATGTATTGGATAAGATCCTAATATTTTTATTATTTGTCCTTTTTTATATGAATTTGTATCATTATTTTTTTTCGATGACATCTGAATTACAATGGATTTGAAAATGAACTTTATAACTCATCTCCAAATGTGATCATCCTTGAAAGGATATTGTTTTAATTTTTTCACTTGTCATTTTCAATATTAAAATAGACACATGCATTTATATTATTATTTAATTTCCAATTTCCAATTTCCATTTTAAAATGCAGAGACAAAATTATTTGTTCACATCAATGTTTTTGAAATCAAACCAGAATGGATATCAATTAGACTAGGAACCAATCGTAGGTCTAGTTTGGACATTTAGCAGAACTAAGATTTTAAAAACTGGATTGATGATCGAATAAGTCAAGATGGCAATTTATAATTCACTGGTCAAACCATGGTCAACCTAGACTTGAATCAGTTGCTAATAAATTAACATATTTTAAATTTTATATATTGATATGATATGATTGTAAGTATTAATGTATACATGGGATGGTCATTTACCAACTTTATAAAGGCAAATTGAAACTAAAATTTAATACTATTTATTTAAAAATATAGATAAATAATTTAAAATCCAATTCAGAATTATTTGTCCACATACTAAGAAAAAAATTATGAAGATTGAAAAAAATAATCATCAAAGATCAATAAAAAAAGAAATTTATATTGGAGATAAATTTAATATATTTTTATCACTAGTGCAAAATAAAAATTTAACAACACTGTTTTCGCAACATGTGTACCAAGACCTGTGGTAATAATGATTAATTTGATGGAAAATTTGTAATTATGTGTGTGAAGATACTAATTAGGGCGACAATTATACAATGTAACTGTCGCCATGATGATTTAAAAATATAAAACAACATATTGAAAATAATATATTTCCTATTTTTATAATAAAACTGGTAAAATTTTATTTTAATTTCCTTATTATATATTAAATGTAAAAAATTTAAAAGTTTTGAATTTTTTATTTATTTAAAAATATTATATATAATATATATTTAATTTTATATCACATAAATATAAATGAAATAAATTATTTCAATTATTTGACAATTTAGATTAATATTTTAAATTTTTTAAATGTTTAAAAATAATTATGGCGATAGGTCCCCGCCTATCACCATACTGATATTTTAAATTTCTTTTTTTTTAATATTTATTATGGGACCTATTGTCGTAGAGTTGTTTGATTTCAGACATCACAGCACATCGTGGTGACAAGTCCTTGTGAGACCCATCGCAATAATAATAATTTTAATTTTCTAATCCCATGGAGTTAGATCAGTTGGTTGGAACTGTTTTAATTTAATCATAGGTTTTGAATTCAAGATATGAGTATGCAACACCCTGAAGGCTAGAGGCATCAATCTTAATGATTTCATATCAGCCTCAATTCGGATTAATCTAGGGCCACTGATGTGCCTAAAAAATAGCCTACCTTGAAATATTAGGTGTCCACAAAAAAAAAAAATTATTTTTTTTATTTTGATTAAAATTTTATTATGGTGACAAGCCAATAATTTGAAATGATATGTTTAAAGTCAAACAGTACATTATGGCAACAGTTTCTTGTGGGACCTAACACCATAATAATATTTTTAATTTTTAAAGGAAATTATTATGACAACATATCAATTATTAGCTCGTTGATATAAATTTGAAATCAAACAATACATTATGGCGATAGACACCCGATATTTTTATTTTTATTATTAATTTTAATTACAGCGACAAGTCACTCATTTGTCCTATAGCATTAAAGTTGTTTTTTTTTTAATTATAAGACCGCAATAAAACCGTATAAAAAGAGTAAGATTTAATTATATCTAAAATTATAAGATTTCTACATTCATGTAGTAATTTTTCAAAAATCATAATATTAAAAATATTATGTAGAAGCCTGTGAACTAAGAGATTAGCATATTTGTTGGCTTCTTTATAAACATGATTAAAAGTGATTATTTAATTTCTTATAATAAAATTTTTATTCTTTTTAAAAGTATCAGAAAAAAAAAACCCTTAAAATAGGTATGATTAATTAATGATAATACCTTTGAATTAGAATAAATAGTGATGGCATTAAAGTTGTTTGAGACAATACATTATGACGACAATTGGTCCTCCAAATTGTCGCGGCAGCTTCGTTGTCCAAATGTCGCCATAATGATGCCTAGTAAAGAGCTATAGCTATATTTCTAATTTTCTTTCCTTTTTAGTATTTTATTATGTGATAAGTCATTTATTGTCCTATTACAATGAAGTTGTCTGATTTAAAATAGGGTCCTAATTTATTGATTTTTTACTTATTGTATACACATTCATGAATATTATGATAAGATCCTAATTTTTTTATTGATTAGGGGATAAAAATATTCTAAAAATTTTTTTAAAAAAATACTGAATACTTTTATCTTTTAATTGGAGCAATGTTGTTTAAGAACTTTCAAAATTAGTGCAATCTCATCCTGCAGTTAAATCTAAAGTTAGTTGATTGTTAAATGTTTTTGTTTGACCAAAGATTTACATGTGGCAAGTTCTAGGTCATCCTATTCTCCCTCCCTCTTCTTTGTCTTCTCCCAGTATCAGACAAGTTCCCCCTCTTCTTCTCAACCTCACCTTCATCACCCAACCTTTACTTTACCGTCATCGACTTTATCACCCAACCTTGACTTCACTATCGCTGACTTCATCGCCCCCATCCCTTTTGCAGTTGATTCCAACATTGACCCAACTAGTGTTGCTTCCTCAAGGTCGATGTGTTGCACTCAATTCTCTACTCCTTCTTATAGTAGATTAGAGAGAAAGAGACTTAACTTAAAAGAAAAGCGAGGAGGAGACGACGATGACTAGGGCAAATGATGGAGGTTGCAATGACCTAGATGATGGCGAGAGGCATTTGGGGGAGACAATGCTGTGATAGTTTTCTGCAAAATGGATGAAAACACAGCATGAGACTCGATGTAAAAAGGAATCTAATTTTTTTTTAATAAAACCACCTTTTTATATCGAGAAATAGATCACCTTCTACATTAGCTGCAAACCACCTTATGTAAAAAGTTCTTTCTACATCAGCTTTTAGGGCAACTGATGTAGAAATTTAAAGATAATTATAAAAATACCATTGCCCTTACTTTCTATGTCGTTTGCCTTCCAACCGATATAAAAAGTGCCCTGTTCATTTCTCATTTTATACTAGTGATAGGCTATATTCTTTGTAAATGGGCAATTCGATGGCCAAATCTTGATGTGTGTATATAAGTGTTGTTATTGTTTGTCAATTAGGTATAAATGGTCCTTTTGGACTAGGTTATAGGCCCAAAACAACCTAATGAGATAAATGGTGCAATTTGAACATTTTGGTGCTTAGATTTTTAAAGAAAAGTAACTTTTTACACTTGAGTGTCTAAATTTGGATCAGACCGTTGGATCATGTGCAAAGTTATCTTATTAGATAGGATCATGTGCAAAGTTATCTTATTAGATAGCTTATGAAATAAACTTCATATAAGCACTTGAATTACTCTAATCAGACATTGTATGTGAAAATGATACACGTCGGAAGTTCACTTATGTGAACTGTCATATGATAGTAGAAAATGTCATGTGCGCCATAGTATATGGTGCCACATATCATGACACATGGCACAAAGGATAAGTTGGTGGTTTTGTGCCACATGTCGCAGTGCATATGGTGCACGCCGCAGCACACAACACTCTTCTGGTGTGGTTTCTCTTATTTTTCCTTATATGTTGGGAGTGATGAATACAAGAAATTATCTTTCCTTGTGTGCTATTTGATATGTGATTGTTTTCAAATAATTTTAACAAAGAAGTCTTGGGTTCCCAAGCATTTTAAACAAATTTCTTTGATTTTAGTTCAGTATAAGAGGTGGTGATTGTGTTAACCCCTCCTAATACTAGTTTAGCACTAGGATAATATTTTGGTATGGGGAGAGTTTACATTTTAGTATCAATTTCTTTAGTTTTGAGACTTGATAATTTTGCTTCTTTGTTGCATTCATCCTTAGATATGGCAACTTATCATTATTCATTACACAACTCTTTCCCTTATACTCACTTCTTTTTTTCCTTTTCCCTTTTAGGAGGGGAGAAAGAGATATAAACAATAAGGAGAGGTACTCGTACTAGAGGTGCTTGTGCTAGGCATTTACCAGTAAATGAGGAGGAGCGAGAGCTAGGAAGTATAATTGGTTGAGTCATCACTGAGGAACAGGCATGATGAGTTGAGGAACATGATGGTGGACATTAGATAGACTGTTTGGGACCATGATACAATATTAATAGATAAAGAACAAGGATAAAGAGTTATGCACTAGAGCAGACCGGTGCGAGAGGAAGCATATAGTAGACCTAGACTGTCTCAAGGTTTAGGTAGCAGACTAGAAGTTCCTGGTATTAATCTGTCAATAGTAGGGCTTGGAAGACTTTTATTTGATTTAGCCCACCTACTTTTAATGTTTGTATGAAAGAGGGGGATGTAAAGCTATGGATAGAGTGACTAGATATGATATTTGAGGTAGTGGTTTGCACTTCTAAATAAAAAGTTTGTTGGAAATTTGTACCCTAGGGCCACAATCATTGTACTATGCATATTGTTATTTAATGAATTTCTCTTTTGTTATCATATGAATTGTATGTTCACTATGATAACTATATCCTTGGACAAACTATAGTGATTGTCCTAAATGTCCCTGGTCGATCATCTATAAGGGATGATAGATAAAACAAGACTAGTATGACTTTAATTAATTATAAAGATACAAATCAAAGTCATAGGAACTTAAAAGAGTACAAGGTGCAAGATCGACCCGCTATAAGAAAGTTGCATGGTACAAGTCATAAGCTTATCTCTTATGTAACTATATCATGAAGCTCTTTGACCTCAGATCATCATGGATTCTTACATT